AACTGCAAAACAGAAAAGAAAGGATGAAACAAGTGTTGCGCAAGAACAGGATTACGTAAGGATAGTACAAGAACACAATGAGTCACGAACGAAATGAACAGAAAGAAAGGAAAAGAAGAAGAGAACAGAGTCTTATGCGCTGTCAGATCATAACATCTAGAATTAAGAGCCATACCTATTCGTTTATTATAGGTATTAATAATGATGTATAATTCGGCAAATCAATCAACATGCGCACAATATGACTTACCATCAACAATAAAACAAGAAAATAATGAAGATTTTATAATTATATGGCTTACTGGTTGTCATGGAAAGAAAATAAATAATTTTATGACCACATGCTTTGATCTAATTAGTATAATTAATAATTTAAAACTATTCGATAATGTAGATGAATGTATTGATTATTTAACATCACTTCCGTTGAACATACATACATTTCTAGTTCTATCTTCACATCAATTCATTCTTCCTCTTATTCACGAAATATCTCAAATTAGATATATTTACATATTCAATGTAAAAGACGCTAATGATGAGAATAACTATTTAGAATATGTAAAATTTCAGAAGATATTCAATGATAATCAATTACTTATTGATAAAATAAGTGAAGATGTTCAACTATTTTCAAAACAACTTTCAACATCTATGACATTTTTCAGCAATACTGATGAAAGTATTAAAGAAAAATCTCTTAAGAATTTATCGAAAGAAAGTCAATATTTTATGTATATGCACTTATTTATTGAAATATTACTTCAGCATTCAAAATCGAATGAAGCGAAAAGTGATTTGCTACATGAATGTCGACACCGTTTTAATGACAATAAAAATCAATTGAAAGTAATTGATGAATTTGAACAGCAATATACATCAGATAAAGCCATTCGCTGGTATACTCGTGATTGTTTTTTATATCGTCTATTAAATAAAGCGTTAAGATATCAAGATTTCGATACGATATACAAACTTCGATATATTGTCAACGAATTATGTCAGCAATTGAAAGATTTATATTCAGCACAATCAACAGAATTAAAGAAGATTGAAACAGTCTATCGTGGGCAATTAATTAGTAAGAATGAATTATATATTCTACAACAAACTAAAGGAGGCTTAGTATCGATGAATTCCTTTTTTTCAACAACATTAGATAAAACTGTAGCATTAGATTTCATTATGGGCGCAGTTGAAGGTGAAATTGTACCGGTTCTATTTGAAATAAATATTAATATCATCAATTCCATATCAACTCCATATGCTAATATAGAAAAGTATAGTTATATTGAACATGAACAAGAAATATTATTTTTCATGGATTGTACGTTTCGGATTGATTCAGTAGAGAAATGTATGGAAAATAATCAAATATATTTAGTTAAATTAACTATAAGTAACCAACATGAAGAAGAGAATGGACTTAAAACATTGACCGATCATATAAGAATGGAAATTCAGAGAGAAACTCATGAGTTAGCCGCATTAGGACGTCTAATGATGACAATGGGTCACTATGACAAAGCTATACAGTATTATAAATTATTGATCACAAAATTATCATCACATGATCCATACATTGGCAGCTTATACACTAACATTTCAATAGTTTACCAGAACCAAGGCAACTATGCTGCAGCCTCGCATTATCTTATGAAAGCACTAAGCATTCAATTAAAATCGTTGCCTGAACAGTACATGGACGTTGCAAAGACATACAGCAACATTGGATCACTTTATATAAATCAAGGCAACTATGCTGAATCTTTGAATTATTACGAGAAAGCACTCAACATTCAATTAAAGTGTTTGCCTGAAAATCATCCAGACTTTGCGCAAATATACGTCAACATTGGATCAACTCACCAGAGTCAAGGTGACTATGTTAAAGCCCTGTCTTATTATGAAAAAGCACTCAATATTGAGTCAAAATCTTTTCCTGAAAATCATCCATGCATTGCAGCAACGTACACCAACATTGCATTACTTCACCAGAATAAAGGCAATTATACCGAAGCGCTGCATTATTATGAGAAAATACTTGACATTCAATTAAAATCATTGCCCGAAAACCATACTGATATTGCACTGACATACAACAACATGGGAGAAGTTTCCAAAAATCTAGGCAAACATTCAGAAGCCTTGAATTATTGTGAGAAAGCACTTAATATTCAATTAAAATCCTCGTCTAAAAACTGTCCAGGCGTTGGAGGAGCGTACAACAACTTTGCAATAGTTCATCAAAGTCACGGCAACTATGTTGAAGCCTTGAATTATAGCGAGAAAGCACTCAACATTCAATTAGAATGTTTGCCTGAAAATCATCCAGACCTTGCGAAAACATTTAACACTATTGGACAAGTTTATCAAAGTCAAGGCAACTATGTCGAAAGTTTGAATTATCTTAGGAAAGCACTCAGCATTCAATTGAAATCTCTGTCTGAAAATCACCCGGACATTGCAGGGACATACAATAACATTGCAGCAGTTCACCGAAGTCAAGGTAACAATACTGAAGCCTTGGATTATTATGAGAAAGCACTCAGCATCGAGTTAAAACGTTTGTGTGAGAAGCATCCAGACGTTGCAAAGATATATCGCAACATTGGATCCGTTCATCAAAGTCAAGGTAATTATGCTGAAGCTTTGAATTATTACGTGAAAGCACTCGAAACGCAGTTTAAATTTTTGCCGGAAGATCATCCAGACATTGAAAAGATGTACCGAAACATTGTATCAATTTACCTCAGTCAAGGCGACTATGCTGAAGCCTTGAACTACTGTACAAAAATACTTAACATTCAATTAAAATCCTTGTCTGAAAATCATCCAAATATTGCAAGGACATACGGAACCATTGCAGCGGTACACCAGAGCCAAGGCAACTATACTGAAGCATTGAATTACTTTGAGAAAACACTGAACATTAGATTAAAATTATTACTTGAAACTCTTCCAGATATTGCAAGAACATATATCACCATTGGAGAAGTTCATCAAAATGAAGACAGCTACGGTGAAGCTTTGAGTTATTGTGAAAAAATACTTCAAATTCAATTAAACTCTTTGCCCGAAAATCATCCGAACATCGCGAAGACTTACAACAATATCGGATTTGTTTGCAAACGACAAGGCAACTACGCTAAAGCCATGAATTACTATGTGAAAACTCTTGAAATTCAATTAAAATCCTTGCCTGAAAATGATCCAGAAATAGTAAGAACGTATTGGAATATTGGTAACCTTTACAGTTGTCATGGAAACAAAGCAAAAGTGTTGGAAGAATGGCAGACAGCATTGTCTATTGCATCGAAATCTTTGCCATCGAATCATCCATGGGTTGTTGGCCTGTTACAGAAAATTGCGCCAGTACAAGAACAAGAAGTAGGCGAGGTTGAGATGAAGGTTGATGAATCGGCAACACCAAGTGAAGCGAACAATGAGAAGGCCGATCACGAACGGAGAATGAAGAGAAAGAAGGACGAGGAAGAACAAAGGACGAAGAGAACGAAGAACGAACAATGAACAAAGTAGCAGAAGAAAGCTCAAACTGTACAGATTCGAAATGATGATGGAATGTCAATTTTTAGTTGTGCTGTTACTTTATTTTCACCATTTTCTTTAGTTTTATACGGACAACGAAAGCTTCAAGAAGCCTAATCAATTTGTTTCGATGTAGTTTCGCTTTTCGTATAGCAAAGTTCTAAATTTGATAATTCCTTCCTAACACACCCTCCTCAACATCTTCTACAAATCATCGGACATATTCACGCCCGGCAGCCGAATAAATTTATGAGTTTAGAACCTAAGAATGTACGAATGGATTTTAGAATTTATGAATTTATGAACTTGTTTAAAGACAATTGGACAAACAACTGCCGGTAAATTTGATGCAACTAGTCGTCTGGTGATAGATCGTATGCATTAGAAAAATCATAAAACGAAGATGTGTGCAACCGATTGGAACATTGATTTTTACTACGGAACTAACAATACACAAGCTGGTGATCAGAAAAATAGCTAGTTAAAACAATATTTAAATCCACTGTCCTCCTAGGCTGGTCAGCGAGCCAGTTTTATTTCTCTTTTTCTCTTTCATCTCTCGAATTACGACCTTTGTCGTATACGTGCTAATGAGAGAAAATTTAGTATATAAAATAAAACTGCTGCGCACATAAATTGTAAAACTCAAGGGCTAACGAGGGAACATTCCCAGCTGTCCAACCCCGATTTCTTTCAAACATACATCAATCGATAGCCTATATCGCGATAGTAAAAAGCCTAAAAGAATTCATCCCATGGCTCTTGAAGACCCAGCTCTACACAACCTTTCTTTGCAAAGCTATAGAATTTACAAGAAAAGCCCTAAATGTTCATTGTCAGCTCAAGCGCTGGGAGACGTCTCATTTCAATCAGAAATTTCCGAGCTACAGTCATGCCTTATTAGGAAACGTTTTGATTATCTTTTTAGAGTTTCTGGAAAATCGGGTTTTCAAGAGCCATGGAATGAATCCTTTCAGGCTTTTTACTATCGCGATATAGGCTATCGGTCGATGTATGTTTGAAAGAAATCGGGGTTGGACAGCTGGGAATGTTCCCTCGTAAGTGGTCTCTGTTGTTACATCGTCTCATTCTCACATTATCTCTCATAGATAAACTATTGATAACGTATCTCCATCTCCAGCGGATAACACCGTTTAAGTTCAAAGCTAGAACTTTTACCTGCAGCGCACATCTCTGGAGGAAAAAAGTTGAATAGTTCCGTTACTTCTACTCTAAATAAAAAATAATATCTTCTTTTCGTATCAATCTTTAGTCGAATTTTTTATATAAGCTTTTGAATTATTCTAAATGAGATAAAAAATTGTTAATTCAAGATATCGAATTTTATGATTATCCAGTCAAAACTGAAACAAAGTTAACTTCTACTTTTTTTCTAAATCTCTTCCTGAATGCCCACTGTCAGAGTCCTCTATATAAACGAATGGGTCAATAGTCTTAAAAGTTCACTGTAGTTATGACGCTAGAGATTCCATATGCGTTTCTTACGTTGGATCATATACCGTTAACCAAACTCAGTTTTTTAAACAAATTTTTTGCAAAAATTCTATCAAAGATGTTTTATTTACTAAAAATGTATTAGAATCATCTCTTTTTCTGACGAAACTAGACATAACAATAATCTTTTATAAGAGTAAAAAATGTTCCATCCATCACTGAAAAATAGTTAGTAAAATCATATCCACACAAAACGAGAAAAAAAACGAGAAATGTACAAAACACTTGCACAAGAATATATCACATGAGAAAATCAGGCACGTGAGAGGACTACTTAATAACTGACGATAGGAGACTGTCACAGATAATAATGGAAAACTGATATAATTTTTCCTCTATCTGTGTGTTTGATCACAAACTCTGACAAATAAACGATCAGACTAGTTTTCAAAAATTAATTTAAATAAAATAATTTTTCACATATAAATTGACATTTAAATGCCATATACAGCACGCGTGTTGTCTCTCAATTGTTGTGCTACTTGTTCCAATGATAATTGTTTTTCTTGTGCTATCACTTCTATTACACTATAAACAAATATTGGATGTGCATATTTGACACCAGGCATCTAGAACGAGAGAAGAATCGCGTCACTAAACTATACTGAGTTTTGTAGGATCAATGATTTTTCACAAGTAACTCTTAAAGTTCAGTGTTACATCAAACTAATAGTAAAATATATAGTTCTATGAGAACTATTCAAATACAATAAGAATGTCATTACAATTGCAACTGTAGTTTTCAGTCGCAGACTGAGAAAAGCGTCGATTAAACTTTTATCAAACAGATCAACTCACTTCCTCTGGTACGAAATATGGCGAATCTGTTTCGCTTAATAATCTGTTGAGATCAAGATCTTTGACAATAGCACGCACAACGGCACCACGATTCGTTGATATCAAAGGTGTAAGGCCTAACTTTAATTCTGAAAAATAATTTGTAAACATGTTGGCATCTTCTAATCGTCCACAAAAACAATGTAAATGAATTTTATGATTTTGTCGTAAATGCTAAAAGATAGGAAGAAACACTAACAATATGAACAATAAAATTTTATGTAAACTTTACTTCTTTCATTAATTCAAATGTTAATTTGTATGCTTCACGTGAATGAATTACTAATGGTTTTGAAAATTTGGCAGCTAACTGTAATTGGGCGATAAAAGCTCGTCGTTGGTCTTTTTCATCACAATTGTTTCTAAAAAGAGAAAAAAAATACTTGTTAAATCTAATTTTCGTAGAATGAATGTTAAGGTAGACAAGATTAATATGGCAAAATCAATAACAAAACGCTGACAGCTCCTTTGATCAGACATTGACTTTTTCTTGTAAAAATGTTGTAGATGGAAAAGTATAATAAAATAAATAACATAATATAATTATCAATTTCATTATTATAAGCTATTTAATTAAGCTTATACTTAGATCATCATAAAAGTGGAGGCGTACATTTGTCATGTTATTCCAGAAACAAAACCGAATAAGTTGTATTCCTCATGCGCAAAATGTTAACTGATACAATTGATATGTATTGAGATTATAACTATTGGTCGATACGGACTAGATATATAATAGAGTTAAAGTTAGATACTTTAGGCGTGCAAGAATATAAAGTTTAAGCAGTCACTCTACATTTTAAGTCTGCACAAGTTATATGATATAGAATTTTAACTATATTTTACATTTTATATTTTATATATTTTATTATGTACACTGAAGAAGACCTCAATTAAAAGAGGTCGAAACGTTTGTTGTTTTTGTTAAATTTTAAAATTTAAATAAAATTAAAATTAAAATACGGAACTAAAGTATCTAACTTTAACTCTATTAATTGATATTTAGTTTTTTTGACTGTGAAAAAGTTTTTCGTGCTAAAAATTTAGTCTGGTACTTACTTTGGACCAAAATCAAGTCCACATTCACCAATTCCTAGAACTTTTGGATGTTGTAGACATCGTTCAATATCATCGGCGCATGACCGATGCCATTTATTACTCCAATGTGGATGAACACCACAGGTTCCATAGACACGAGGATCATCCAAATATTTAGAATAATGACTCCAGTTTTCTATTAGTGAAAAAACAGACATCAAAGCTAAGTGCTCGTTGAATTAACCAAAATAAAACCTCGTGTCAAATGATTTGGTCGCCAATAAACTTGAATCGCTTTTTCAAATTTTAAATTCGGTAAATAAAGATCTTTATATTCTTTGTCAAAATAATCGGTGACGGTTGTTTTGTTACATGACAAACTAAACAAAGAGGAAACGAAGACAATCTAGTTGAACTATAAAGCACTATTCACAGTGTAATCGGAAGACAATCAGCCAAGGGGGAAACTGCGGACTTTATAGACTTGAGCGGACTTTAAAGTCCTCTCAGATCTTTTAAAGTTCCCAAAGTCCACCGATATGAGCGGACTTTCGGGACTTTAAAGTACGGTAAAGTCTCCGTAAGTCCGCTCAAGTCTAAAGTCCGCAGTTTCCTCCTTGCAATCAGTCGAAAATAAACTGAATTGTAATATCTTCTGGTGTGTTAAATAAGGTTGATAACGTTTCATAATCTATATATCGATCATCCTTTAATTTGTCATCGAAATCGCCATTTACAACAGTTAAGTCGTCGGGAATGACAAGTGCTTTTGGAAACTATCAGAGTATAAAAAGAAATACTAGAGATATAATATTACCGATCAAATAACAAGTCAAAATGACAGTGAGTATCAACAAGAGATGATAATAATCCATTCTTCTTCATACGTTCTTCTATCTCAATCATTTTTTGTTTCATAAATGTTTTTATTGCATCTGCTGAATCTATTTCATCATAATTATTATCGTGACACCTGAAAAACCACGAAAACTAACAGTTATTACAACTACCAACATGAGTCATTATGAAATACGAACGAATTTTGGTAAGAATTATTAAGTTTTAACGAATATCGTTGATTTTCACAACCTGATGAATTGTAACTGTGATTATTTGAGTGGTATGAACGACGGTTCATTTCGGATTTTTGCCATCGTTGTTGATAAAGATAAGATTCACGATGATCGCTACAAAGACGTAATGATGCCTCATTTTCAGTTGAATCTGACGTGTGGTTCGAAGATAGTGAACTAAAACGACGAAAAAAGTCGTATTATGCACAAGTAAAATATTTTGTATCAAAAGGCTGATAAATTCGTACTAACAATTACTAAAGAGTTCTTAAAGAATAGGATAGTTTATCTGATTGATACAAACTGACAGCTAGACTCCAACTTACGGTTCATCACAACAGCCCGGCTCTCTCAAACGTGGCGGTTTGCTTTTTTCTTGATGCTCTGAATAATTAAATTTTGGTTGAAAATTCTTCCTTTGTCGAGTACCATTTGAAACAGAGGAAGAATGATTAATGTGATTAGGATCATTATTAGAATATATAGAAAAACATGCTTGGCTGCTGATTGTTTGTGTTTTATTCGTTTGAAATAATGGTTGAATTTGTCGCTGAGAGATTGCTGTTTGTGTTTGATATTTATTATCTTGGAGACGCAACGAATGCGGTAATCGAGCATAAGTTTTTGATAAAAAGTCTTGTTGATATTGTTGTATAGGATTATATTCTTTTTTCTTGACTGGTAAACATTGAAAACGTGGTGACAGATGTTGGTTGTACGATAATAAATGAGAAGTTTGTTCTTGTTGCTGATAATGATAATTTCGCGTGTGCTTTTGTACAACATTTGACGGTGATTGTGATTGTTTTTGCGATGAATATGATGTAGCAACGGTGTCGATTTGTTTTACATTCGTCGAAATCACTTTTTCTGGTGATGGTGTTCCCGAATTGAATTGCTGCCGTTGTTCATTCGATTCGTTTGTCTCGAAACTAATTTGATGCGGGGACGATGACAATGAGTTCAGACTTTGTTGTTGTTTGATTTTTTCACTAGGACTTTCTGTGTATGAACTATTTGTGAATATAACTGAACCGTTGATATCGTGTTCTTCATCGATTAAGTCAGTTGATGGAATTATTTGTCGTGTTTTCAATGGTAGAGAATGATAATTATCAGATATTTCTTCAAGTTTAATATCTGACTCAACCAAACACTGTAGACTATTAATATAATCTTGATTGATAGTATTTGATGAACTTTGTGGAAATCTGTTTTGGTGAAAACGTGGCGGTTTTTCAATATTATAATGAAATTTTTCGTTGTATAGAGGCAGTGGAGGAACAGAAGTAAAATTTGTGCCATTGTTTTTTATTTGTAGTAGTTTAACAATTTTTCTCTGTGATTCAAAATTTTGTTCATTTAATAAAACTGTTCGTGAAGATTGCGATTTATAATGTTGATTATTATTACAAGAATCGGATGAATGCTGTGCATCATTGCTTTCGTTTAATATAATGTTTCTTTTTGTCGACTTTTGATGATAAGACTGGAACGACGACTGTTGAGCATCATTGTTTGAATTAATTAAAACGCTTCTCACTGGATTCTGTACTGGATGAGTGTTAATCTGTTGTTCGTGTGGGGAACGTACCAAAATGATTCGCGACGTTGAGAGGCAATGATTTGTCTTTGGTATATGTTCAGAAATTTGTTTAGTTGATGGAAGTACATCTCAAAAGAAATCAGAGAGAAAAAATGAAAAAATCATCTATATGAATGTGATTGTCTTTTATCTCAGTGCTATCAAACTTCAGCTTTCGGCAGGAACAGTCCATTATTATTGAATAAGCTTAGAAATGGTCAATATGAACAAATAATCTGTCCCATAGTTCCATATTGCGAAGTATAACCATTAATAATAAAGCGACATCTTGTCTGCGAATTTGTGTTTTTCTTAATTAGCTAATGTCAAAATATGCCCAAATCATCTGTACATAACCGAAATCATAGAGCTTTTGAGGACCTACGAAAATAGGTACTTTTACTACGGTGTCTGAGTATTGTGTATAAAAAGGAAAACAACAAAAGTTTTTTTATACTATTTCAATAAATAGAAATATGAAACAGGACTTTGAACTTAAACTCGACATTAAATTTTAGCCTATCGGATTATCCCTTATTTTCAACTATATAAAAATATAATGTCTAGCTTATACCGTTTACTGAATTCTAACAATACACACACACACAGATAAAGTAAAATATATATGAAGAGAAATCTGACTATCATCCTTATCATTAAATTATAATATCTACTTAAGTCATACCAAAAGTAGTGAGCCAGATACCTTATTTTTGTATAGAAGGCTTGAGGAAATTTTCTTTCTATATAGTCTGATAGAGAAAAGAATGCTCTATTTTTCTATACTATTTGATCATAGTTCAACTAATATTATAATAATAAAGTTTGGATAAGATCTATTTTATTCGAATGTGTCACGGTAACACGAATCCTAGTGAGTATTTTTTGAATAACTTTCGGTAGAACCAAGATAGAGAACTTCGATTTTCACCATTGGAAAGAGGAGATGAAGATGCATCGAATCATGTATTATAGGTTTTTCTAGTATTGTTTTCTGAAGTATTTTTATTCAATTTTCTAACTGTTGGAAAAATGTTTTTTTAATAAAAAAAAGGAAAAAATACAAAAGTGAGCTTTTTTCACAAAAATTGCTAGAAAATCATATTAGAGCCTCGACAAGAATACATATTATTCATCTCAGCATTTGGCAGTTTGTAGATCTTCGATTAGTGATTTGAATCTATACGTAATAATTGAAAATTCAATGTGAACAACTTACCAGATAGGTTTCTTCTTGAAAAGACCAATTGAAAACCTTACAAAAAATGATCTAGGAAACCCTGTGACATATGATTCGATGCGTCTTCATCTCCTCTTTCCAACAGTGAAAACCGCAGTTCTCTATCTGGTATCTATCAAAAGTTATTCAAAAAATACTCATCCGGCTTATTTTAAAAGTACCGTGACACATAGGAACAAAACAAATCTTATCGAAACTTTATTATTATAATATTAGTCGAAGTATGATCAAATAGTATAGAAAAATAGAGCATTCTTTTCTCTATCAGACTATATAGAAAGAAAATTTCCTCAAGCCTTCTATACAAAAATAAGGTATCTGGCTCACTACTTTTGGTATGACCTAAGTATGTATATAATAGTCTTCTTTGTTGACTATGTCTTTATACGAACATATTACTAGATCTACCAGAAGCCACATAAATCTACCAGATTTTATCGGCTTCTTTAATTTTATAATCAGAAACTTATTTTTCTTTGACACTTTTTTGACGCTTTTTCTTCTTTACTTGGAAAATTAGAAAAAAATCTCTATATTATCAAAACGTTGACTTTCACCATTTTGTTGATCGCTTTCCTCAAGCTTCTTTTCTCTTGATAATTCATTCGAATTTATCTGTGTTGTATTGTATATAGTTATAAACAGCTATCCACAGAGAACTTTCCATTTTCATAAACCTCTCGTCAAAAGAATGATTAAGTCCTCATTATAATTGTACTGGGATGTGTCTGCTTGACCTTGTATGTATATATGTACATGAAAGAGATTGAAAATAAATCATAGAAGTAAAAGATTCTTGACTAAAATGGCAAGAGAAAGTAGTCTTAGTCGAAAAAAATCGAATAGTGTTTCTCTTTTTCTTCCTTTCTAATTAGCAGAAGTACTGGAAAAACAAATAATGCACTAAACTTTCTAAACCTTCTGAAAAATGTGCCGTTCATTAGTATCTAAAAATCGCTTTTTGAATTATTTGATCATGGTATTCCTTTATTATGTAAGATCGAGGGAAGACGGTAGCATAGGAGATAACAGTGACATATTTGTCTCAGTCGCTGATAGTGGTGACATCACAGATATAAAAGCGAGAGGTTCCTTTTCTTTTCTAAAAAAAAGCGAGGCATTCTTTCTAAAAATGGAATCTCGTTCGTAATTCCTTAAAAAGAATTTTTTCACATTTCTGTAGTTAAAAAATCAGATTTTGACAGCTTTTTTCTAAAGATTGAGATTAGAGAATAGTTCAGATTCTTCTGATAATTGTAAGAATATGTCTGAGAGCATCAGGATAAAATTCGTATCTTCTGTTTAAGATACTTACATTTACCTTCCCATAATCGATCTTGATTTTCGAACATTGTTGAACGTAAATTTGGATATGTTATATTATTATTTATCGAATTGTCATTTTTATTCACGTTTTTTCTTGTAAGATAATTGCCCTCTTCTTTTACGGGATAAACACTGTCAAATGATAAGGATTGATCGAAGTAAGGCGCATGCGACACATGAGAACTAAAAAGAAAATGTTCAATCATTCACTTTAGATCAGATGTTTTTAACTTACTTTTCTTGATGCTGCTCTTCTTTAATTAAAAATTCGGCAGAGTCGGACAGTATTTTACATTGAGTTTGTTCGGGCGTTTGCTGATCGTATTGTGAATTTGAATAAATAACATGACGATATCTGACATTGGTTGTTTTTGGACGTTTAACCTGTCTATGCGCATTTGTCGTACATCTAACAACAGAACGTCTTATTGTCTCATTGTCTGATTCGGGATGTTTCGTTTGTTTAACATCATTGTCATTATTATATCTTAGTGATTTATCCGATATTTGTTGATGTTTCTCTTCTTGTTTTAAATTGCGTGTTAATGCATTTTTCGTGGCTATTTCAATGAGATATTTCTTAATAAAATCTTTTTTGACTACTCGTTTACGTTCATCAACTACTTCTTCTCCGGCCATCCTACATAAAACTCTGTTCTCGAACAGTTAAAAATTTCACAACACTAGTAACTTTTAAAAGGAAAGGCAGGTAAAATGTTTCCAAATCGATATTAATTAAATCTAATTCCATTAATTGAAACGAAAAAGAAATGAAATCAAGAAAGAAAAAAAGCTGAAATACACAAAGCAATGAATCATCTGACCAGATAGAGATAACAAATAAAATAATGATTGTCAAGTGAAAATAAGGTATGATTATATAAGGAACTGTCAAAGAAAAATGATCAGACGGTTATAGGTTTTGACACTGTGGTATCATGTTGCAGATAATTTGTTTTTCTGAGAAAGATACTGAAATGAAGGGGCATCCCTAAAATCTTTTCTTTCCACGCTATATTATGTACTTTAGATACGATAGGCGCTAAAAGTTAATGTCATGCGAAATTACGTTGTTATTAACGCTGTATATCCAGCATATCCGAACCAAGATGTATTGAATGAACTGCTGTTTACTGGATGAATCCACATTTTATTGGTCTATTTGCGCGTAGCGTCCTCTCTCATATTATATGTGTCGTCCGGTCCTTGTAATCTACCACTATCACTTTGTATCCAGTCAACAATATTCATGAAAATTTGTATCTTTGTATAAGTCAACTGAATTCTTCCGTACGTAAAGTTCGTTATTAAGTTTTAGGAGAAATAAAAATGGTTAACGATAGTTAGCGGGAATTAAATTTATTGGTCAAATGAAGGCATCCATAAATTTTATCCACCGATCTCTACTATCAAAGTGAAATTTCGAAATTTTGCGGCGATTGTAGCATGAGTGTGTATAAGCTAAAAACTCAGCCCATTTTTGTTTTTTTGCTCAGAACGGTCCTGTGAGAAACGGAAAACTCTGAACATTTGATTTTACGTGCTTTTAAATGGTTATAGCCATTCCAATTCAGACAGGATCTTCACTTGGAAGCTGATATTACAGAGCATCATTGAACTCGTTTTGATGCACTTTTCTCCAACACTATAGAAACATATAAACAAATGAAGGTATAATTAGAAAGCTCTTTCAATTGTTTACAAAATGATCTATTCACAATATCTTCACTGATCTGCAAAAGGTCGTCTCCGAGCTCTCTGCGACACTTTTTCATGAAACAGCATTCAAGGTACGAAAGGCTCGATACCAACAAAATCGCCAGAATTAACGCTAAAACAAGAAATTTCCGTCCTTAGGGCCTTTCGTAAATTGAATGCTGTTTCACGAAAAAGTGTCTGAGAGAGCTTGGAGACGTCTCATTTTGTTCAAAAATGTTTGCTTCATACGACAGAGTTATTTGCAAAGAATTTTTGGATCGAACTAGGGGACTTGGTTCTCTGAGATTTGGGTTTTCCAGAGAACTGGTTTCAGTAGTTTCGATAGAATCTTTACATATACCACATTAGACTAAAAATTCTTTCAGCTGTTCAAATATCTTTTCAAATTTGTTCTGGCTACTATGCTCTACGAGAAAAATGAAAATGAAAGGTAGACGAATAATTTTTTGGACCCACTGTATTTTTAACTTTTTTCCTTTCTGTCAAATCCTCGTGATCAAACACTGGTATTATATACTATCACATTTTTCTCATACATGCTTTTCAATGTATCAGCCAGTCTCTAAACATGCCCGTGAGCATGCCTGTGTATAGAAGAAAAAACAATAACAGTAGTATATTTACTCGCCTGACTTATAAGGATGTCAATATACCGTCAGATTTGAACACCTGTAAGTATTTCATGGCATGTCTAGTTAAAACTGATATTTGTAGCAGAGGTTTATCATTTTTCCTTTGAAAAGCGTTTACAGTCAATGCGACACAGTTTGCTAATGTTTGTACAGATGAATATGCGAAAAAATTTTCGACGCATTTTTGAAAAATACTTGAGAAGATCTCAAAAGCTGAAAGTTTCTTTTATTTCAGAAGCATTTGCTAAATACGTTATCAGATGTATTTTTTCATAAAAGCAGATTTACACATATCAATCGCCGAAGCATCCTATATCTCGATTATCTGGATGTATAGCATAGCGTACATACGAGGAAAAAACAAATAAAAAAAGAAGTAAACAAATGAATTTTCGTGTGAGTCGTCTTTAAAGATTGCGTACTCTTGATCGAACATAGCACTTCGAACAAATACAAATTACATCATTTAATACGATTTGCCTCAGAAAAGGGCTACTTTTCACATTTTTGGTTGTTTGAATCAGTTCTCTACCAATCTCTACTTTGGCAAATATTGTCGGTTTGGGAAAGATTATATGACTGTGGACTATTATTTCTCTCACTCCACGTATACATTTTGCATTCTACATTCTTCGAGTACTTTGATAGTATCAATTAGAATTCTAGGTGAAAACTAAAACTCTTTCGTTCGAAAATTGTGTTTGCATAATCTTTGAAATATTCTGTCAACTGAAGCACTTGAAAAATGAGTGGAGCTACTATTGATTTTTGTATAGCATAAATTTACCTGCTATATTTAATGGGAGACCTTAAATATCTTTACTGTTTAGGATTCAAATAGATGAAATGCATTGTATAAATATTTTTTTATTTCTCCTGCTATAATTAGTGTAATAATATAATCAAATAAATGATTAGTTGAATGTTTTTTTAATCGTAATAAATTCTTTTTATTTCATATGATTCATTAAAAGTATTACTCAAGAAAAATATATACTTCTGTTTTCTTTTATGTTATTTAGGACATATAATTCTCAGCGTGACATAACAGATCATATTAGATCTATATTGAATGAATAAATCAAAAATATCAAAAGATTTTAGACGACTGACTAAAAAAAAGAAAAAAAAACATGAACATTTTTAGTCATGGAATTTTTACATCATTGATAGTTATCAAAATAGTTTGTACTCAAGAATGGAATTATCATGAACTTGCTGAAGATATGTGGCCTTATATCTATGTATCATGTGGTAGTACTCAGCAGTCACCTATTGATATTCAAACCTCAAATACAAAATATTCTAAATTTGAGACGTTTAAATTTTCTGCTGATTATGATACATTAATAAATTTTACTCTACAAAATAATCACTATTCGATTCGTACATTTGACTCAATACAGGAAAAGTTATTAACGTTAGAAGGTGGAGGTTTACCAGGTACATTTACATTTCGACAATTTCATATCCATTGGGGCGAAAATATTCATCAAGGAAGTGAACATCAAGTAAATGGAAAGAAATTTTCAGGTGAAATACACTTTGTCTACCTTAATTTTGCAACAAATCAAACAGCTGTTTTAAGTTTTTTAATCGAAGTGATTAATAATCAAACACTAGAGAATGAAATTGACTATAATACAACATCATTGTGGCATAGTTATATTGAAAAAGCATTGTTACTAAATGGAGGTAATATAACATATTTTATGGGAAATTTAAGTGAATTTATTCCTGTTCATAATCTATCAAAATTTTATCGATATTACAACGGTAGTCTAACCGTACCACCATGTTCCGGAAACGTTATTTGGACAATATTTAATAATACAATTAAATTTCTAGAAGATGATATAACAGCACTTCATAAGATTATTACAGATTACAATTTTCGTGAAATTCAACCACTTAATGGAAGAATTGTCTCTGCTAGCTTTAGAGATGATCAATTCGACACAGGACAGATATTACGCATAAAACAATGGATACTGTTTATTTACATTATAATAATATACTTTCCTAACTATTAATTAATAACAGTATAATTATCTACTTTCGTTCTCTCCCATCTCTCTTTCTCTCTCTAGGAACATTTGATCAAATCGAACAAAACAATATACCGTGTGTTTTTTATTTTGTAAAACTTTTTTGTTTGCTCACAAAAAGAATCCCGGTGTCTTGGAATAAAATTAGGCAATGAAAAGTTTCAAAATCGAAAATCGATTGAGTATTCTCCTTGTAACCAATTTTAACTGAAGTTTTCTATTCAAAGACATTCAAATATTCACATGAAATGCCAAAAACTACCCACTGTACTCCACTTAGATAATGAATTTTTCTCGCATCCATTTTCTTTAGAAAATTCCATAGATCACTAATTTTAAATTTTCGTTGTCGACACCAATGCTAAAAAAATGAACAGTACTAACTAAAAATCGAAATATTCTCATAGCATAAAGATTTAACAAGAAACACTTTATCGTTTTTGTTTTCTAGTGATAAAACGTAGTTGACGTAAAATTCTTTGTTTTGACTTTAATTTGTTTTTAGTTTTCGACAAAGTTTCTATTGTATTTTGAATATTTTCTTTTATTGTTAAAATATTTTTGTTCAAACGTTCTTTCTCGTCACTCAAATTTTCAATTCTTTTTTTTCCATATGTCACTAAACAATTCGGGACATCGATTTCTATTATATCTCTTGGGAAATTTCGTTTTCTACACTGTGGACAGCATCGACAATTCAAAAACCATTGATGAATGCAACTTGCACAAAATAAATGACCACATTTCAATGACACAAGTTGATGTTCTTCAGTTCCAAATGCATCATAACAAATGTGACAACAAAACAAATCTTGAGGAATATAGGTTTTCAATTCTGATGATTCTGTGGAGATATCAGATGTTTCCGTCATCAATTTTTGTTGTTATTGTTGTGATGATGGAAATTTAACAGAATACAAACTTAAGTATAATCACCTTATCAAATAACAGAGTCTTTTTATCTTAATTATGTAAAGGAAAAAAACAAAATAGAAGTATGATGAACTTAAATTCAATTTTATTTTGTAACTATAGTAACGAACCATATTTCTAAACAACTGAAGATTATTAGAATACATATCTTATTGCTACAATATAACTACTTTTTGCCTGTCTCGCCGAAAGCAATATGCTGGGAAGCCAGGTTTTAGAGTTAAAATATACCATAAAATAAAAGCTACCCAAAACCGACTAAAACATTTTTGAAAGAATTAACTTTTTCTGAACGGCACATTATCTTCCTATACTGCCGTGGTACTTTATGTTCCTTCTGGGTTGGAATTTTTATATCGTCTCCAGATCGACTTTGTAGGATTGATAACGTTTGTAGGAGTTAAGGTTGTGGAATTATATCTGAATTACTGGATTTTCCAAGAAGAAGCATGTATAACTGCCATTACTTCACTATATTTTCTGAAGAGGCATTTTTGTCCTATACTACTCTCGACTTTTTTATTCTGTATATCAAGACAAATTGCCCGTTTGAGCAGCGTGACTCAGCCGGCTAGTGGGCAGACAACGTACTTCAAACATACGGAGTTGGAATCTCGACAACGGCGGTCACGTTATAGTCTTGAACAAGTTATCTAACGTTCATTGTCCCGATACCTTTGGACACAAATACAATGGGGTAACCCGATTTCAGTGCCATTGGACTGGAGAGATGAGAGTTAAAGTTTAAAAAAAAAATTGCCCGTTCAGTATAGGCTCATCTCTATCCAAGGTACTGTTGTGGAGTTAAATACAGATTATGTGAATTCTTCAGTTATTTATATGCTGTTCTCAATTTCGTCTAACGACACTTATTACTGAATTGAGTTTGAATGTCGTAATATTGTTTTCATTTTATTACATTCTGTCGCTAAATTGTTTGAATAGTAACATTATTGAATCAAATAAATATCAACTGTACATAGAGTAAAGTATCCAGTTGGAACCGCAACTAGATTTGTCTAACTTGTGACTCTAGTATCTGAGTGAGTTTTGAAACGGTTTGCACCGAATTTGGGGGCTTTTGTAGCTGAAAGTCTTATCTATTTAATGATCTAAAAATTATTCCAAAATTTCCATCAGAGACGGATCGCAGGAAGATTTACTAAGGAGAGGATCGTTTTGGTTCCAATTAGGCTCTGTGTCTAATGGGAACCATACAGTGAAATGTGTGTCTAATTGGAACCGTCCCGTTGAAATTACACGGGTTTGCAACGTTTTAGTAAAACCTATTTTTTAAAAGACTTTTGTAAGATAAACTAAGAAGTCTTTATATGGTCATAATCCAGAGAATGAGCCCCGTCGAATGCCACTAATTCGAGATTTGTAGGACCAAAATTGACCAAGTTATACTTACCATACTTTATTGTATGTAAAAACGAGATGGTTGCATATTAGGCACTGAGCTTAATTGGAAATGAATATGAGAAATGAGGCATAAATATTTGATGGAGTCAATAAGGATCTAATGGAGTTTGTGAAGTCCATATTGATACTGGTGGTGTACAATGTTATCGGAGATAACAACAGGTACTGATGCTTTCTTCACATTCGGACCAGAATTGATTTTATTGCTATTTTTTTCCCTTTCAGGCCCACCACCAGTGTCAATATGGACTTCACAAACTCCATTAGATCCTTATTCACTCCATCAAATATTTATGCCTCAATTCTCATATTCATTTAATCCACCATATTCTCATGCAACAACTTCATATCAACATCCAATATCCGCCACAAATGTTCGTAATGATATTTTCCCGTCATCACCATCAACTACATACTATCCAATGCAACCCGTTGGTGAGATTCAACAAAGATGTTACAAATGTGAACATCCGTATAATTCTAATTTGACTTATTATCATTGTTCCAAATGTACACGAATAGTATGCTATTCTTGTAGTTATAATGTTTCCACAATATCTGTTGGATCTCGGGTATGTGATGACTGTTTTATGAATGATGTTTTACTAGAAGTTGACAAAATTTAGATCTGCTTTGTTGAAAGTGAATGATTTTAGTATGTTCTTTCTGTACAATGCTCACAATAAACTATGTAGTAGTACATATACTTTCATTACTCAGGGACTACAATATTACTAATTGGCCGGAAAAATCTGAAAGCTCAAGGAAAAATTATCTTATCTCGGACAACACTCTATACGGACAATACTCTATATCGTCTGGAAAGACACAAAGAGGAAGTGATCGATCTGTTCCATTTAGAACTGGTGCTTCCAGTCTAATCAAAGGTGATTCTTTAACTAGTAATCGATATTTATGTTGTTCTGAGAATATGATTCTAAAATCCGAATTCTTCATTAATATCCTGTATTTTTATAGTATTTCGCAATAGCTGATTTTGCCTGCGGTTCTGTAACAGTGTTAATTGCATTGACATTTGCTAGCATACTGACTCAGTACTACTGAGAGAATCGTCTAGATCTTTTTATCAGTTTTTACAGTAGTTCTCTGAATTTTGCTAGTTTGTGATCGTGTTACGGGCCCTTGTTTAGAGGTGGTCGTAACAGGTCTTTTCGATACTGTTACTTGTTTGGAAATATTTTTTGGCACGAGTGTTCTCCGAGATAAGATGATTTTTCCTTGAGCTTTCAGATGTTCATTAACACGTGTTTTTAAATGACGACACGTTTTCCCAACGTAAGTTTCTCTGCAGAGCCAATGAGAAGGAAAGAACTTTAAAATGAATAAAATTGAATGGCCACTGAAATCGGGTTAATCCCATTGCATCTGTGCCCAAAGGTACCGAGACAATGAACACTAGATAGCTTTGGATCAGAGAGCTGACGGTACACTCTCCACATAGCTTAACTAATTTTATTATATTTCCTTATTCGCTCATGTCTGAAATTGACGTTATTATGTTTCTTACGGAAGAAGCTAATTCTTGCTTTTACTCGACAGTAGCAGCTATATTGCATATTTGTCTTATTCACGGTACTTTCGTCTATACTCACTCATAAGGTGCAGGCAATTCAAAGATTGAGCACTATATTTTTTCTCAATGTGTTATATATGGTTGGATAGAGCTCTTCGAGCTGAGTCAGAATATGTATATTTCGGCCGTTCGTAATGAATCTATGGTGAGAAATTTTCAAAAACTCAAAATTTGGCTTTGGTCAAAAACCGTGAAATTTTCGATACAATTAATTTTCCAAGTTCCATTCGGCAAAAATCTTGGTCGAAGAGTTCGAAAAAAATCAGAGTTGCCCAAATATCCTGAAACACACATCAATCAATTCAGTTTTTGATGCTGATTTTCAAAAAATTAATTTTCTCAACAACGTAACAATATTTTCAAAACCGATACGAACTGTAATTCTCCGTAGTATGATGGTATGAATGAGGTATGAAATGTGGCTTCATCTAGTAACCAAAAAACCTGGATAGGTTTACATCGGAACATAGACCAGTTTTGAATTCGTCGATTTTTCAGGTCATATCATATGCGAACACCATCAAAACCGCATTTTCTTATTAAGTTTTTCATGTTGCACAAGAAAAATAAAGTCATAAAACTACGAAATATGAATGGAGCTTGGAAAATTAATTTTATCGAAAATTTCACGGTTTTTGGACCAAAGTCAAATTTCGAGTTTTTTGAAAATTTCTCTCCATAGATTGATTCATTACGAACCGTCGAAACATACACATACTCTGACTCATCTCGACGAGCTCTATCCAATCATATATAATACATTGAGAAAAAAAATTAGTGCTTCATCTTTGAATTGCGTACACCTTAAATCAGTGATAATTTAGGTTGTCTTTTCCGAATGAGAACAAACGGAACTGAGTTGTATGAATAGTCGATTCTTCGTAATGAGACATAATAATGGAATGCAAAGAACGAAAATGAGAAAATCCATCCTTCTGTCACTTCGTATACTTCACATTGAACCTATGCGTTCTATTCAACTTCTTAGGGCCCACCTCTATATGCACTTAATACGAAAAAGATCATCAATCATTCGAATCGTCGTGCGAAGCTGACCAAAAAACATCATATCGATTTAAATAAAGTTGTGGCTATAAAACATAATACAACGACAGTAAATTGTTTACTCCAACTCAAGAATATTAACGTCAATATTCATGCGCAATGAACATTTTTTACAGTGACTACAATAAGAATCGAGTGGGCAAAATTTGTATCGAAATCCCAGTATATACAATCTAATAAAAACGTTTCTTTTTTACAGAACCTAAGAGGTTTCGCACTTAATACCCCAAATTAATATTTGGTAGTTAGCTTCCGAGACCGTCTGGGTGTCAAAGAAGTTACGATCGAATGAACAATCTAATGGACAAAAGCAAACTTAAGTCTCAGTAATGGACTTCAAAATCAATCAAATTCGTGCATGTCCCGTCCCTATAAGTCAGCGGATGTACGGGGACTTTTATGAACGTACGCGGACTTTCGTGATCTTATAAACTTTAATAGATTTGTAAAAGTTTAATGATCTTTGAACTTTGATAGATTTTAAAAGCTCATCCAAGATCACGTTAGGTGATGTAAGTTCATTGAATCCACAAAAGCCTAGAAGTGGAACGTCTGCTTTTCCTCCCGCGAAATAAGGCCACTAGTTAGTATTTTATCGTTATTAAAACCAAAATCGGTTATTATAAAAAACCATCAATGGAACAATACTGATAACGCAGAATGAACAATCATTCAGTATAAGCTACTTGTAGCGCTTTGCTTTTTTAATGCTAACACCCAACACACTTACCTTTATGTCCCACCAAACACTTTTCAGTGTTACAAATAAATCTTGTAACCGACATCAAAAGTATAATTTATCCGTTAATCTCATTGCAAAATTCTGTATAGTTTTCCAAAATAGTTTTAACTTTAAGAGTATGCCTCTTCCTTTTTGATCAATAGCTAGATTTCGTTTGCACATATATGCAGTAATAGACTAAAGTGACCCCTACAAAAGGAGACATCTTCCAGACTTCTGTGACATTTTCTCACAGAAATGAATATTTTATGGAAAGTTATAAGTGAACAAAGTACCAGTCGTTGACGTTCTACACAATTCCGATCTCTGTGTTGCAACTTCCCTTCACCTGGTTCGATCGAGCTGAAATTTTATTTGAAATTATGCTGCAGAGGTCAAATCGAACCCTTGCAGTCAAAAGTTAGACTAAATCTACACTTGAAAAACTCGCTTTTCGGAAACGTTTTTCGTATTTTCTGGTTTTGAATCGAGTCCTTCTAATGAGCAACTATTTGCCTTTATACGTCTCATTTCTATTACATTGTATGTATAAGTGAAATGATTTATTTTATTTGTTTCTAGTATGACGATCTTATAACTTCATTTTATGATCCCGTGAGGATGTTATTAGGTGAATCCTAAATGTTAGGATCCTGTATGATTCTAGTAGGAAATTGACAGGAAGCGCGTAGGATTTTGTCTAGGGAAACGGAGACCAATTTTATTAATCAATCGTTTAACTATCAGACAAGAAACTAGTTAGATTCAGATAAAAAACTCGTAAGATTTAAAAATCATCCAATCCCGTCCGACCAAAAGCGTGTGACTCATGCGGATCGCTGATATAATGTTCACTATTTTTTTCGAGTCTTGAGCAACTGCAATTAATTCATTCCAGTAGCTAAAGATGCTATTTTTGCCAGTTAAAATAAATAATGTAATTATGATTCGATTATTTTCTCGTTGTCGATTCTAAACGTTAGTTGACTGGTGATATATTTTTTTGATGGGAGTTTATTATTTTTATATAATACATTAGTGAGTTCATTTCCAAGATCATGATGCAAATGTCACTCTATTACCTCATATACGTCTTCTATGAAGATATGTTTATATAAAACGACATAAATAGATGTCATAATCAACATTGTGTGTGTGTGTGTATCAGATAAAAATACAATATTTCAACTAGAAACATGTTTATTGTCAATCCTAATCGAACTAAAATATTACCGATTGTAGATTTCGTGTAAGTATATACAACTTTGTTCAATCAAATAATTCGACTTGATTATTGATGCTGAAATAATTTTATTGACACAACGCGTCTAACTCGATATCGATTACTATTAATGATAATTTTTCTAACTTCCGCCTCTCCTCCTACTGAACGCCATAGAGATTAAAATCCTTCTTATTTCTTTCATTCTTTTCTATAAAAGGATGAGACAATAGTCTCTTCATGTGTTAATTTATGTAACAATTATATGTTAGAGACAAAAGAAAAATGATCTTTAAGATGAGATTATTTTGGACGATGACATTAAAAGTTCGTGACAATTGACTAAAGCATTTTTCTATCTTATTTTTGTTGATTTGAGGAACAATTATAGAGAAGAAGAAAAAAACAGTTTATTTTTTTTTTTCCAGAAATTTTGTCGAGAAATGTAGCCAAAAAAAACCTATAGCCTACGCTTGAAATCATAGATATAAAGCAGACTGTCCTTCATAATAGGTCTATTGACAGTTCCTGTTCTTTAGAAAAGAACTAATAATCAGTTTCCGTTATTTTTCAAAAATACGGTTTGTGTGTTTAAATCAATGTCGAACGTTGACTGTATATTGTAACAGTGATTATTTTCGAGATAACTCATACTGATACACAGTTCTTTTAAAAAATAACGGAAACTGATAATCACTTCTTTTTATAATAAAACTGATCTACCTTTTCCTTTGTACTCTAGAGTTAAATAAGTTCTATTGATTGATGTTTGTTAAATATTTTTTTTACATAACAATGGTCAAGTGAACATATATTATGAATATCATTTATTCTTACTTTTTCTTTTTCTCTCATCATTAAATATATTATAGGATGTGATTATCTTTATTATTATTATGCCGTCATTTGATCAGCATATTGTATTTTAAGAAATGGATGTAAATAAACGTCTTTCAATTTTCTGCTCATATCCATAATTGACCTTTGTTGTTACTGTTGTTGTTGTTGTTCATACTGCTAATGTAGTTGATTTTATCTCTTTTTTCTATTTTATATAATTACTAATGTGTTAGATCGTTGATTATCATTTATTATTGTTATTATTAACACTGATGGATTGTAGTACGTATGAACAAAAATAAGAGAAAAAAAGAAGAGTATGACTACTATGATAAATGGATCTACAATCAGACCATATAATACTTCGTTCATTGGACATAGTTGCTTTTTCTTGTTAAAAAACAATAAATTCTTCGTCTGTACAAAAAATATTAACCGTAATACATCTTTGATAGAACCGAAAACGTTGATGTAGATTTTTTACAGTGAAAATAAATTGACAAGGTAAGAAATTTGTAAAAACGATTTTTTTCCTTATAATTTTTTATTAAAATGATCGTTTCATAAGTGACAAAGTAATCGTCTGTCACTGCCTTGATAGTTTCTCTCGCTATCTAAATCCTCTTTAACGAATTTACTTGAAGGCATGCAAATTTGCGAAAAGATTTTTCTGTAATGAAAATACAACGCTATGAAAATATGACTAACAGTCCCGAAAATTAGCGTGTTTTTCATAAATAATAAATTGAATATTTCCAAGTTCACTAACCGAGAATCTAGTCGTTGTCATATGTCTCACATACTCAGACAGATTATAAAAATGTGTGAAGAACAAAGAGGAACAAAAGAATTCGTATCTATTAGATAGTCATCGTCTTTTATTATTTACTCTTTTAAGATTAAACATGTTTTAACAATCCTAATTGATACATTGGTTAACTCCTGAAAACATTTAATTACATTTGTTATGCTCAATTTATCTTTCATCGAAAAGATAACATGCAGACATAGTTCATTTCACAAGAGAGTTATAATAATTATTAATATTATAACTTTGTCCGGTTTTCAGTAGTAATTGAACGAAATATTAACAGTGATTAAATGTAAGTTTAGTAGAACGTCTTAGAACCTGAAAGGCGACTTAGAAACACATTTTTATTGTAGTTTCACACCTGTTAAGAGTGATTTACGTCTCTTTTTTGTCATCAACTAATTTTTCTACTGACAGAAAAAATCCATCATTCAGCGACAGTAACTCCTGTTGTTTCTTGTCATTATACTCATAGATCATCGTACGTTACTACTGTAAATAAAAAAAAAGAAATCATAAAACTGCATCCTACTTATTTTTAACTAAAATTCATTTCGACTTCAAGAAACACATAATTAATTTCTGTCTTTCTTGTCTCTCTCAAACAAGCCACAAAACGGTTGAGTCTCATAAAGAAAAGCTTCAGATCACAATACAAGAAGATTTACAGTCGATGGAAAAAAATTTGTATAATGTGTTGACTTTTATATCAGGGCGATTCACTCACTATAGTTCTATAGATAACGAGGAATAATAGTGAAGAAACTTTCTCCTCATACATTTTGATTATTTGCATATGACTAGATCTAAAACATCTCGCTAAACATATGTGAATCACTCAATTTTTCAAAAGTATGGCTTGAAATTCTTAGATTAAAATTTGCGGGGTAAACAGACAGTTGCTAATTAGAAATTTTTTTATTTATGTAGTTTATGGATTCAAAATCAAGGGTTTAAGGGCATGAAGAATCCAAAATTTTAGTTTTCTAAGAAAATAAACGATAATGATTAAAACTAGCTACATATGATTCCCAAGCAATTGAATGATATTTCATAAAACTTGCTAAAAAAACCATAGTTCGCTGCGTTTGACATCTCGTACATTGATTAAATATTCAAAATAACTCTGGAATCTATTACAGGTATTCTGCAACAGTTTTTAAATTTTTACACTGAAGAATAGCGTAATATATGCGCGAAAAAAATCAGACAATGGTCCCCTTCAGTAACGTTTTTTCATCTGAGATGGCACATAGTTTTCTCTATAAATCAAGAGTTTGCTAAAATTAGCTTCAGTTTTTTTTGCTTTATTCAAATTCTCGTGTCATGCATGTTCTGTATACAAATAGTTTCTTTTGGAAAGTATCGACTGTTATCGGAGTGCGTGGTACATTGATTACTATGCATAAGTAACAAGGCGTTTTTTGTTGTAGAAAAAACTCATTTTTTCAAACACCTAAAGACGTAAGGATACCTCATTGTCTATGATTAGACATTTTGTGCATGATATTTTGGAAAAAAATCGTTGATATCAGTGTGGAACGACTCTACATCAGTTCATTCTTTTGAAAAACCGAGAGGTGAGATATATTTAGTGAAATATTTTAGATATGGCCATGTATAAAAAATCAAAGTTCTTATTCCTGATGATAAGTAGTGGTCTCTCAATTGATCATAAAAAAAGAATGTTTTTCTCATTCTTAGAATAGTATGTTATGTATATATTTAGAGATTAGTTTTTTTATTTTAGATCCAATGTTCAATAGTTACATTTACTTTCAACAATGGTTTATAATATGACAAATATTACTAATGAACAAGCGTTGATTAATGATGAAACGCTTGGTTCTTTAATTTTTTTTACGATTCTTTATGTATTGATGTTAATAAGTGGTTTGATTGGAAATTATATTGTTCTCTTTGTTATATTTAAAAACAAAGACTTGAAACATTTTACAAATTATTTTTTTGCTAATTTGAGTATTGCTGATGTATTTGTTCTTCTATTTTGTATACCAACAGCTCTTCATGATATCTGGGCGAAAGATCAATGGTATATGGGAAAATTTTTTTGTATAACAAATCAATATATTGAATCATGTGCTACTGGCATTTCATCATTAACAATTACAGCTATTAGTTTTGAACGTTTTATTGCCATATGTGAACCATTTAAAATAAGTTATTAATTTTAATGTTATTTCTATTTATACTATTATGTATTTATTTATTTTAGGTTCATGATATATTTAATGAAACATTGACACTTGTAACAATTTTTCTTATTTGGGCTATTGCTATTATATTTTCATTACCATTTTTAATATTTTCTGTTTATGATCCAAATTTTGATATATCTGATAATATTAATATTACAGAAAAAGTTGTTGTATGTCAATTGGATGCTAATTCGACAACAGCACGTACCTGTATTACATGGTTTATTATTGTTCTAATATTTATACCATTTTTTATATTAACATTTATTTATTCTCGTATTGTGCTAGAATTAGCACGACATCATCGAACATCATTAAATAATATTGATAATGATACAAATGGTGATACACGTTCACATTCATTTCTTGCTTATAAACATTTTGAACAAAAACGGTTAAATACTGTTATTATTTGTGTTGTAACCGTAGCATTTTTTGCTTGCCAATTTCCTGTACGTATCATTCAATTAACTGATATGTATATACGTATCCGAAATGCAACGTATCTACCACATTTAGTTTGGATTTGGATATGGAAATTATCAAAAGTTTTATTTTTTGCTAATTTTACAGCAAATCCAATTATTTATAATATTCTGTCGACAAAATTTCGTCGATCATGTAGACGTTTATTTCAAATAGAGCGTTCAATGAGTTTAACAAATTCATCGTCTAGAAAAGCAAGTATCACATCTTATCTTTATTCAAGTATTTATAATAGAAAGAAACAACAAAAGGGCAATATAAACAACAATGGTAACATGAACAATATCAACGTCAATAATAATAATAATAATAATAACAACAATAACCATCATAATTTAATAAATGATTGTGATGGTTGTAGTAAAGACCTTGTGACATTAGGATTAAATGAAGATGGAAATTTTACGATGCGAAAACAACAACAGCAGACATTAAGAGCGTTTATTGAAAAAGATGGTGAATAAGTTAAAAATTGAATATTTTGAGAAGTTCGTTAGTTACTTCGAACAAGTTGTTGTTTAATTAGTCATAACGACATGAATTATACTGTGTGGTTAATTTTTTGCGTTTTTAATACCGATGTACTTAACTTAACAGATATATTTTTCTTAGAAATTTGTGTATCATTTAAAAGATTAGCAATAATAATTAACTTTAGCTTTACTGACTATTCCTTCGATTTACTCTCTAGAACTAACAGCTAAAGGAAATAATAGTTTATAATAGTTTATAATAGTTTAATAGCTAAAGGAAAAGTTATTCTCACATTACATACGTTTATTTTTCAATAGAACTATCAATACCCTTTGGTAGCAGAAAACTCCTGTGAAATAGGAGTAAGACCGGAAAATGCTTTTAGCATATTAGGGAGAGCAAAAATAATTTTTATTTTATATCGAATTTTGACAAAAACTTTAGCAAACGTTCATGATATCAAATGATGCTTCTAAAATCATTCTTAGTTCTCTCTCTCGCTATAACCCGTTCTCGAAATTCGAAAAAACAAGGGGTAGATATCTCTCCCTGATATTAGAAAAGCTGTTGTTTCTAGATTACAAGTTAGAAATATCGGATTGACTGTCAATTAAAGTAAGTACTTACTCTCTTCGAATGTAAGAATGGATTTTTACCTTTTTATTGCGTTTAAAAATTGAAAACTGAAAATTTCCAAAAAGCTTACAAAAACCTGACAGTTTTAAAAATCGACTCAAAACATTTAACGCAGTTTTCTTTTCATTTTGAAATAAAAAGTTATCGTATTTTGATTCGGCATAAGAAAAAGAATTTGAAATACTTTGTAATGGTAATGAAAAACAGATATACGCATAAACCAATTCAAATATGCCTTTATCATAACGGGTGACTTTTGGAAGATTTCGCTGTAGAACATCCTCTTAAGAAAGCAAGAAAAGAGTGAATACTCATTCTCAATGTCTATTTTGAAGGTTCTCACACTATATAATGACAAAAGATACCCCCTAGCAGCCTGTAGTAGCTTCCTCCTCTCACTGGCAGAGATACTTAGAATGATGAGTAAGCACGATAATCTGTCAACGTTTTCAAGTTTCACAAAGTTTTATGAATCATATAGACTCAAACTTCTTTTCTTCGAGAGGAAATTATAAAGTCAGAGCACCTCTGTTTCATACATTCTTCTATGATATTTTAGATAAAGTGGCGGACAAAAGTTTAGAGCCCCCTTTGTTTTTGACTTTTCTTGTGAACTAAAGTAGCTAGAATGAATCCGAGAACAGATTATGTAGAGAACACGTTGGAGTACCTAAGCATATAAGAAGAAAAACTTTCGTTTAACTTTAGCAGCTTTAAAAAAGATGAAATTTTAAAAATTTAAAAGCCTTAAATTTTCAACTTTTTTAAAGTCAGTTCAAAGTCATTTTCGATCATTTAGCAAAAAAATAGAGCAGACTTTGCTC